TCTTTTTTACTTACCTTGTAGCATTGTAGGAAGAAATAAATGAGGAAATAACACAGGAGGTGCTTAATGCGGTGCCTGGCACCTGAGTGTTTAATGCATGTTCTCTGCTGTTACCAGGTGTGGCTGAACCGCGTCCTCCCCTCCTAGGACAGACTGGCTGGAGCTCAGCTGTACTTCCTGGGAGAAGACAATTGCTGGGTTTAATCATCTGAATCTTGGTCTTTTTGCATATGTGAATGGTTTTCTACTTGTTTGATGATAGAACCCAGACTCAGAAAAGGTTAAGAATGGCCGGGTGCAGTGGCTCACGCCTGTAATCCTAGCACTTCGGGAGGCCAAGGCGGGTAGATCACTTGAGGTCAGGAGTTTATGGCCAGCCTGGCCAACATGGTGAAACCCTGTGTCTACAAAAAAATATAAATATTAGCTGGAAACTGCTTGAACCTGGGAGGCGGAGGTTGCAGTGAGCTTAGATCATGCCATTGCACTCCAGCCTGGGCAACAGAGCCAGACTCCATCTCAAAAAAAAGAAAAAAATAAAAAAGAAAAAGGGTAAGAAAAAAGTGGATTCCTTAAGGACTGAAGTAAAACAGACTTGCCTATTTCTCTTTATATCCCTGTGCCAAACTGTCCCTAAGCCCTGTGTATTCTTTCTTTTGTCATTCCACTTTTATACCCATCTCCCCAGCCTCTTCCCTCTCTACCATCAGCCAGGACTTGACCATCAGTATATCATGCCTGATCTCCTGCACGTCTTTCTCCCTGCCTCTTGCACACAGGTTCATATTTCTTAAATCATTCCTTTAATCATGTCATAGTTCTGCTCAAATGCCAGCAGTTTGTTCCCTGTTTTTTTTTCCCCAGATGAATTTTAAATGAGTGCTGTCTAGCAGAAATATTATGTGAGCCACATATATTTTATGCTCAGCTAATTTTAATAGTTTTAATAGCTATATTAAAAAACATAAAAAGAAACAAATGAGGTTAATTTTATTTATTTACTTAGTTATTTATTTAGAAATGGAATCTCACTCTGTCGCCCAGGCTGGAGTGCAGTGGCAAAATCTCAGCTCACTGCAACCTCTGCCTCCTGGGTTCAAGTGATTCTCCTGCCTCAGCCTCCCAAGTAGCTGGGATTATAGGCATTCACCACTATGCCCAACTAATTTTTTTGTATTTTTACTAGAGATGGGTTTCACCATGTTGACCAGGCTGGTCTTGAATTCCAGATCTCAAGTAATCTGCCTACCTGAGCCTCCCAAAGTGCTGGGATTACAGGCGGTAAGCCACCGTGCCCAGCCAGAGATTAATTTTAATAACATATTTTTAATTTAACCCAATATATCCAAAACACTATAATTTCTACATGTAAGTAATATAAAAAGTCATTAATGAGATATTTTGCAATTTTTTCCTACACTTAGAGCACATCTCAATTCCAATGCCAAATTTTCATTGGAAATATTTGATTTCTATTCAGATTTTTTTTTTTTTGAGATGGAGTTTTGCTCTTGTTGCCTAGGCTGGAGTGGCGTGATCTTGGCTCACTGCAACCTCCGCCTCCCAGGTTCAAGTGATTCTCCCGCCTCAGCCTCCCGAGTAGCTGGGACTACTCGGGTGCCCGCCACCATTCTGCCTTTTTTTTTTTTTTTTTTTTTGTATTTTTAGTAGAGAAGGGGTTTCACTATGTTGGCCAAGCTGGTCTCAAATGCTTGACCTTGTGATCCACCCCCTCAGCCTCCCAAAGTGCTGGGATTACAGGCTTAAGCAACTGTGCCCAGCCTCTATTCAGATTTTATAAAACTTAGAATTCAGCAAAATAGATCATATACTCAACCTATTTGAAATGTACTTAAAATTTTTCCAACGACTGAATCAAGTCTCAGCTTTAAATTTTAAATTAACTTAAAGGCCGGGTGCAGTGGCTCACGCCTGTAATCTCAACACTTTAGGAGGCTGAGGTGGGTGGATCACAAGGTCAAAAGATCGAGACCATCCTGGCCAACATGGTGAAACCCCGTCTCTACTAAAAATGCAAAAATTAGCTGGGCGTGGTGGTGCATGCCTGTAGTCCCAGCTTCTTGGGAGGCTGAGGCACGAGACTCACTTGAACCTGGGAGGCGGAGGTTGCAGTGAGCCAAGATTGCGCCACTGCATTCCAGCTTGGGTGACAGAGCAAGACTCCATCTTAATTAATTAATTAATTAATTAATTAAATTGGAAATCCATGCTATCAGTCACAGGAGGAGCATTTCAAGTGCTGAATGGCACAGGTGGCCGGGTGATGGACAGTCCTGGGGTAAGCCGGCAAGCCTGGCGTCCCGGTGTCCCAGCTTCATGGGCTTCTTCCGCTGCATGGCCCTTCCCTTGCTAACACAGCACACTCACTGGTGTACTGCTGCCTTCCTTTCCTGGAGAGCCCATCTGCTCCTCTCCACTGTCGTTCTTTTGATTGTAAGGGTCAGATGACAGAAGAAGCATCAAATAAAGATGCATGTGGACTAGAACTGGAAAGACGTCAGGACCTGAGACAGTGCAAGGGACCAGCCCACATTCTGTGTGGCAACTCCCAGGGCCTCTCCACTTCTCTCTGGCTTTCAGCTGACCTAACGCAGCAGAATCTCACTGGACTCTGATGACGCAGCCCTGGCTCGGAGGTGATTCTTGCTATAGTCATCTCTGGCTAGAGAAGTGGAATGGCAAGATCTTTGGTGGCTTTTGTCAGAATGGTGGTATAGCAGGAGGCAGTGAGGCCAGTGGGCATTCTGCTGTCCTGTGGCCTGGCAGGGAGTGAAATTGGCTATGCCCTGAGGGTAATCCTTAGGAAACCATGCTGAATGAAGCCCAAGACCAACGGCTGCGGCTTCTTGGCATGGCCTCTTCTATTTAAGCAGGGTGTGGCTTGCACTAATAGCTCCTTCAACATGAACCACAGATCCCTCCTGCCTTCCAGCTCACCCTGAAAATCCCACTGTTTAAATCACTTGGGTAAACTCTTCTTCCTAGGCAGCACATGTGTTTTGGAGGCCTGAATTATGTCTTTCTTTTATCTGCTAGCCTGCAGGGCCCTAGGAATGAAGCTTAGGAAGGACCAGTTCTGATGGAAGAAGGTTCTGGAATGATGGTACCTTTCAAGTGAACAGGATCTAGAATGCCAGTACTGAGGAGAGAGAAGGCATGGAGCCTAAGAAGGAGAGGGGGAAGCCCATCTTTGTGGATTTGCCTAGGGCCAGCTCTACATTAAAGCAGTCTCCCTCCATTGAGTCAGATCCAAAATTCCTTTTGCCTGGTAAAGGGAAATAAACTATTTATTAACACAGCATAAACTTGCATTAGTCACAGGCTGTGGCCAACTATGGTAACAGGTTGATAAAGTTGATGACGTAAAAGCATTTCCACTTGATGTGTTGGTAGCTGCTGCAAGTGTTGGACATTTTGAGTCAAAGATCTCACCTTTTTTTTTTTTTTTTTTTGAAAAGGAGTCTTGTTGTGTCACCCAGGCTGGAGTGCAGTGGTGCCATCTTGGCTCACTGCAACCTCCGCCTCCCGGGCTTAAGTGATTCTCATGCTTCAGCCTCCCTAGTAGCTGGGACTACAGGCACATGCCACCATGCCTGGCTGATTTTTGTATTTTTAAAAGAGATGGGTTTTACCACGTTAGCTAGGTTGTTCTCGAACTCCTGGCCTCAGGTGATCCACTTGCCTCAGCCTCCCAAAATGCTGGGATTACAGGTGTGAGCCATCGCACCCAGCTAGGCCTTAGCTTTTAATGCTGAGATTTTGCCACTTGGATGCTGTGTGACTCTAGTTAAGTGATTTAGTCCATTGCTTCTCAAACTTTAATGTGTATGCAAAACACCTGGGAAATCTTGCTTTAAAAAGCAGATTCTGGCTGGGTGCGGTGGCTCATGCCTGTAATCCCAGCACTTTGGGAGGCCGAGGTGGGTGGATCACCTGAGGTCAGGAGTTTGAGACCATCCTGGCCAACATAGTGAAACCCTGTCTCTACTAAAAATACAAAAATTAGCCAGGCATGGCGGCAGGCACCTGTAATTTCAGCTACTTGGGAGGCTGAGGCAGGAAAATCAACTGAACCTGGGAGGCGGAGGTTACAATGAGCTAAGACTGTGCCACTTCACTCCAGCCTGGGTGAAAGAATGAGACTCTGCTGAAAGAGAGAGAGAGAGAGAATGAGAAAGGGAAGGATGGAAGGAGGGAGGAAGGAGGAAAGGTCTGATTCATCAGGGCCTGAGATTCTGCATTTCCTTTTTCTTTTTTTTTTTTCTGGAGATGATCTCCCTCTGTTGCTCAGGGTGAAGTGCAATGGTGCAACCTATAACTCACTGCAGCCTCAAACTGCTGGCTCCAGTGATCCTCTGGCCTCAGCCTCCCAAGTAGCTAGGACTATGGGGATGTGCCACCATGCTAAGGTAGTTTTTAAATTTTTTGTCGAGATGGAATCTCCCTTTGTTGCCGAGGCTGATCTTGAACTCCTGGCCTGAAGCAATCTTCCTGCATTGACTTTCCAAAGCACTGGAATTACAGTTGTGAGCCACCACACCCAGCCAGATTCTGTGTTTCTAACAAGCTCCTAGGTAATCCGAGTAGCTAGGACTTAAACCTATGTGTGTCTGAGTGGCTTCAACAATGAGAGCCTCAGCTGTAAAGTAGGAGGCAGATGGTATGTACATTACATCAATGCACCTGTATGCTGAAGAGGTCTTCTGAAGACTGTGTGTTTATCAGGAGAGCCATGACTGAGTCTTTCCTCCATTCACAAGACTTGACCTTGGGTGGGGACATGCCACCTGCCCACAACTGCCTGAGATTGCTGCCTGGGTGACTCATGTCTTGGGAGAAGTCTTGTTGTAGTGACTTCTTAATGCGTGAGAGCTTCAGCTTTATGACCTCTGGTTGTAATTCCCAAAGCTTGAGCAGATCCATTCAACCTGGGTTTCAGGCATGGCACTTAACCCTGGCTCTTCATCCTTTGCCCACAGGTGATGGCCTTTACAAAGTCTCCACTGGGTCAGTACTTGGACAGACATCCATTTCTGGCCCTCGCCTTGCTGGTGTTCATCGTCACATCGGCTGTTCCTGTTGGGTTCTTCCTGCTCCTCGTGATCCTTACCACCCTGGTTGCTCTGGTCGGGGTCATAATACTGGAAGGTAGCCTGTTCTGTCATTCACACCCTTGGAAAGTAACTCAATTGGGAGAACGACACTTTTGGGGCACCTGTCATTTAAAAAAATTTTTTAAGGGACGGGGTCTTGTTGCCCAGGCTGGTCTCGAACACATTTCCCTGATGCACCTGATTCTAATGCAGGTGGTTGGCGGCCACACTTTGAAAATCACTGATCTAAAACTTGGAAATCTTTATGAAAAGGCAGCACATCTGCAGATGATCTCTTCCTTCCAGCCTTTTCAGGGTCCATCCCTGAAACCATCACTGTGGCTGTGGGAGGCGTGCTGGGCTAACTGGCCACACGCAAAGCCAAGGGAAGGATGTCAGCCATGCAACACTTGCCGTGTTATTTGTTCTTCATGCTCTTTTCCTTGTATCTTATATTCTTCCCCCCCCCACAGGCCCCACATTATGAAAAATGTATTTTCCTTGCATGTATTAGAAGGTAATTCATTAATATTCCCGTTAAGAATGGGAATGGCATAGAAAAATGGCATGGAAAATGGTACATAAAAATGCCCAATCAGACCTCAGGATTAAAATGTGATAATTCTGTAATCCCGGCTACTCAGGAGGCTGAGGCAGGAGAATCACTTTAACCTGGTAGGTGGAGGTTGCAGTGAGCCGAGATCATGCCACTGCACTCCAGCCTGGGTGACAGAGCAAGACTCCATTTCAAAAAATAATAATAATACATAAAAAATAATAAAATAAAAATAAAATGTGATAGTTGTCAGGCTGGATTTTCAAGGATGCCATCAAAAGCTGCATTTAGATTTTACTTTAGCCTGCATGACCTTTATACCTGTAGCTTGTAGATAAGTGTAAATAATGGCATTTATTACACAGTTTGAGACACTGGAGACAGTTTACCTCCCATAGTACTGCCTTGGCTAACTCCTCATGGGGGATCCTTTTGGAAGTCCATCTCTGACCCTGAGGATAAGGGAATCTCAAACTCCAACACCTATGGGCAAGACAAAATGAGCAGGCTGGTTGCAGTGGCTCATACCTATAATCCCAGCACTTTGGGAGGCCGAGGTGGGTGGATCACTTGAGGTCAGGAGTTCTAAACCAGCCTGGCCAACATAGTGAAACTCCATCTCCTCTAAAAATACAAAAATTAGCCTAGGATGGTGGCAGGCGCCTGTAATCCCAGCTCCTTGGAAAGCTGAGGCTGCGAATTGCTTGAACCTGGGAGGCGGAGGTTGCAGTGAGCTGAGATTGCGCCACTGCACTCCAGCCTGGGAGGCAGAGCAAGACTCCATCTCAAAAAAAAAAAGACAAAATGAGCAAAGTGGCCCATGTGTGATGCAATTTGGGAATTGTAGAGACTGGGGGCAATGTGAGGGCCAGCCAGTTGTCGCCATGGTTTGATGCCCACTCAGGTGCCCATATTGCCTCCTTTTTTAACGTGATGCCAGAAATCTGGGTTTTTGTGTGATATCTCCTTACTTTAAAATTCTGAGTTAGCTGTCATTACTTTAAACACATTGACCCAGGGTCTGCCAGTTTTCAACCTGTTTGAGAGAAACACTTCTAACCACCTTCTCCTCCTAGGACTGGTCATCTCTGTGGGTGGTCTCTCACTGTTCTGCATTCTCTGTGGCTTGGGCTTCATATCACTCGCCCTGTCGGGGATGATGATGGCATCCTATATAATAGCCTCCAGCCTCGTCAACTGCTGCTTTTCTCCCAGGTAAATACATGTCCATAGAATAATTTATTTTTTTAATCTTTCCATTTTTTTTTTTTTTTTTGAGACAGGGCCTCTGTCTGCAGCCTCAACCTCCCAGACTCAAGCAGTTCTCCTGCCTTAGCCTCCCAAGTACCTGGTACTACAGGTGCCTGTCATCACACCCAGCTAAAATTTTTTTTTTTAATAGAGATGGTGTCTCACTATGTTGCCCAGGCTGGTCTCTAACTCCTGGGTTCAAGCAATCCTCCTGCCCCTGCCTCCCGAAGTGCTGGGACTACAGACATGAGTCAACACACCTTGTTGAATAATTTAATCTTTGCCACTTGAGGGGATTTTCACAAATAAAACCATAAACTTAGTTGATGTCCAGAAGGAAAATTCTAAGACCCAGATATTGCTTGTAGGTCCCCATGTATGCCAGGCATCAGATGGGAATTTACCATGGAATTGCAAACAAAGCAATTGCTATCATCTTCCATCAGATACACACATTTCATTGTCATAGCAACTCTATCAGTATTATTGACTCCTTTTAAAAGATGCCCATTTAGGCCGGGCCTAGTGGCTCATGCCTGTAATCCCAGCACTTTGGGAGGCTGAGGCAGTTGGATCACCTGAAGTCAGGAGTTCAAGACCAGCCTGGCCAACATGGTGAAACCCTGTTTCTAAAAATACAAAAAATTAGCCAGGCGTGGTGGCGCGTGCTTGTAATCCCAGCTACTCAGGAGGCTGAAGCAGGGGAATCACTGGAACCTGGGAGGCAGAGGTTGCAGTGAGCTGAGATTGCACCACTGCACTGCAGCCTGGGTGAATGAGACTCTGTCTTAAAAAAAGAAAAAAAAAAAGATGTCCATTTAATTTACAAATGGCAAATTAGGTGGTTTTCTTTGGCAGGGTGGGGCGGAGAGGAATAGGAACAGGAGAAAAATGACCCACCAGGCATGCCTGTCTCCCAAAGCAGTACAGTATGGGAGCAATGAATCTTCTGTGCCCAGAGTTTGTCTTGATCCCCTCTGCTCTTGAGAATGTGAGTTTCTCACCAACCAAGTGTGAGCCTCGTGTTTGAATACATAGATTTTTGTTCCTATAATATGGCTCTTTAATGCCAGCTACTTCATCTGGGGCTTCAAGTGAAGCAGCAGTGATCTACTTAAATGCTGGAGGGAAAACCCAGCTATGCTGTCATTACTAGGAGACACTGTTTTTGTCTATAATGTGCCGCCTGCCTAAGGGATTTTCAAAGGAGATTTTTTTTTGTAATGCTTTTATTTTTGTCCTATGTGTTGATTTTAGAATCTAAGTCCCAAGCTCATCATACTTCATTTAAGCTCCTGCTAAGTTGATGATAGTGGCTACTGAGCACTTGTTCTGTGCCAGGGATGCTCTTAAAATACTTCCCAGGCCTTATCTCATGTAATCCTTACAATTTAGTCACTTTGTATTACAAGGAAAATTAAGCCAAGTCCCTTAAGCTGAGAGTAGCACAGAAGGGACTTAAATCCAGGTCAGTTAATTTCAAAGCCCTCTTAATCAAGATACAAAGTGACTCTCTAAAACAGGAGTTAGCAAACAATTTCTGGAAAAGGGTCAGATAGTATTTGAGGCTTTGCAAGCCATATAGTCTCGATTGCAGTTATTCAACTCTACTGCTGTAGCATGAAGGCAGCGCAGACCAGGAAGTAAATGAATGGGCATGGCTGTGTTCCAATAAAACTTTATTACAAAAACAGGCAGCTTGCTGGATTTGACCCAAGGCCCATGGTTTGCCAATTGTTGCTATATAAGAACTGATATCCCAAGTTTTGTGTTTCTATAAAACAGCCCTTGAACTCCTTACCAAAAGTTATCCTGTCATTATTCATATGTTGAAAAATATTACATCCACTTCACTCCCAGGCTGGAGTGAAGTGGATATAATATAAAACCACTCAAGGATGGCTCTCATAGGATTGCTTAATTGACATATCTGGAGTCATATTCGCCTTTTCATAAATCGCTTTGATCACTCTTAGTCTTTTGTTTGTTCATTTGTATTTTATTTATAAAGTAATGTCTTGCTATGTTGCCAGGCTTTCTCAAACTCTTGGCTTCAAGCAGTCCTCCCACCTTGGCCTCTGAATGGACTGGGATTATAGGCGTGAGGCATCTGGCTCACTCCCAGTCTTAAAGACATTAAAGGAGAAATATTGGCCTATTTTGCATATTGAGGGTGATGCTTCTGAAATAAAATTCCTCCCTATCTCTGAACGCTGCTGTAATAGGGTAAGTTCTTAAATATTATATCAAAGGAAGAAGCAAAATCTGACTCCCTACTTATTAATGAAGAAATTGAAAAAGAAATCCAGGATATGTATTTCTCCTTATCCTTCCCTATTGCTGCCAACCAATTGCTTCACTTGAGCAGAGGTTCTTAAGCTTTTTGTTCTCAGGTCCCATTTTACCTTCTTAAAAATTATTGAGGCATCCAAGGAGTTTTTCTTTATGTGGTTAATTGTATTAATAGCACTTTGGGAGGCCAAGGAGGAAAGATAGCTTGAGGCCAAGAGTTTAAGACCAACCTAGGCAACATGGCAAGACCACATCTCTACAAAAAAATACAAAAATTAGCCAGGTGTGGTGGTACATGCCTGTAGTCCCAGCTACTCAGGAGGCTGAGATGGGAGGATCATTTGGGCCCAGGAGTTCAAGGCTGCAGTGAGCTATGATCACACCAGTGCACTCCAGGCACTCCAGCCTGGGCAACAGAGCACGACCCTGCCTCAAAAAATAAATGAAATGAAGTGAAAAATAAATTAAAATAAATAACATGACATAAACTATATAGAGTAAAATGAATTAAACATAACAGAAGTTAAATATTAGCTGGGCATTGTGGTGCTTGCCTGTGGTCTCAGCTACTTAAGAGGCTAAGGAGAGAGGATGACCTCAGCCTGGGAGGTTGGGGATACAGTGAGCTATGATTGCACCACTGTACTCCAGCCTGGGCAACAGAGCTAGACTCTGTCTGAAAAAGAGTATTAATAATTATTTATTTTAAAAAAATTTTCTTCCTCAATATTCCTTGTTCTGAAATAATTATTCAATTAGAAATCATAACATAAATTTTAAAAATATCTATTCATTTCAAAGGAACAATATTACCTGTTGATATAAATAATGTGTTTTAATGAAAAGTAACTATATTTTCCAAAACAAAATAAAATTTGTGAATGGCATTGTTTTACATTTTACAAATCTCTTTCATATCTGCCTTAATTGTCAGCTGGCTTCTCGCTTGTATGCCTGCACCCATTTTGTTGTGCTATGTTGTTCTGGTTGAAGTATTTGAAGAAGACTCAGCCTCACTGAAGTGTAGTTGGGAGAGGGAGGCAAAGCTTTTTCAAACGATTGTGGATATTCTGTGATAGTACACCAGAACTCCGTAAGTGGTGGTTTCTTAAAGGTTAGCTGAAATGTGAAATTTTTATACTCTATTCTATTGAAATCTGCAGGTCTATCTCACACTTTAAATTGATCTTTACCATGCATGATTTTGTAACTTCACATGTTGGTCGTTGGGAGAATGTTCGTTCATTGAATCATGCAAATCTTCCAAATATATTTTGAAAAATTGCCCTGTTACCTTGTGAGAGAATGCGAGTGAAAAGGCATATAATAGGTCATGTTATTGTGAATATAGTTTTCATCTGAGAACCCCTGGATTAGCAAATTTCTTTTTTTTTTTTTTTTTTTTTTTGCTTTTTTTGAGATGGAGTCTTGCTCTGTCACCCAGGCTGGAGTGCAGTGGCTTGATCTTGGCTCACTGCAACCTCTGCCTTCTGGGTTCAAGCAATTATCATGCTTCAGCCTCCTGAGTAGCTGAGATTATAGGTGTACACCACCCCACCCGGCTAATTTTTGTATTTTTAGTAGAGATGGGGTTTCACCATGTTGGCCAGGCTGGTCTCCAACTCCTGACCTCAAGTGATCCACCTGCCTTAGCCTCACAAGCTGCTGGGATTACAGGCATGAGCCACTGCACCCAGCCTGCATTAGTCACTGCACCCAGCCTGCATTAATGAATTCTTTATAACTCAAAAAAAGATAACTCCTTCATTAAATGATCAAAAGCATGCAGTGGGGGGAAGAGGAGCTATACAATTTATTTCATGATTTAATGGAATTTTGGCCCTAAAACACAAAAGATAATACAACTTAAATTTTTTAAAAAGGAAACAAAACTAAGCTTCCCTTACTTATGAAAGTCAGCTAAACAATATTTAGATAAAAGATACCAACCTGCCTGCGATGTAGATCGACTAGGCTCTGAGGGGCAAAAGCACACTGCTTTGTTATGGAGACAGCGAGACCTCTCAGGGCCTGCAGCTCGGAAGCAGTCGGGTACTGGGCAGCTGTGTTTATCTGTAGAGCCACCAAACTCACTATCCCACATCATAGTCTTCTAAACCAGCCTAAGCATAACAAGCTTTCTTACATGTTTACTAAGAAAAAGAAAGACTTCTTCCTTAGTTTTTTGCTATCAGGGAGGAATGCTTTAGGTGACAAGTAATGGAAAAAACCAAAGTAGATACTAGCTTAAACATACAGGGAACTTATTTTTATTGCTTAATGAAAAGCTGGAGACCTCCCAGGGCTGGTGCAGCTGCTGTGGTATCCACATATCCAGCACCTTTTGCCTTACTGTGTTGCCATTCTTAGCCCATTGGTTTCCTACCTCATGGCCAAAAGACACCTGCTACAGCGCCGCGTGCACCAGCTACCTTCAAGGCAGGATAAAAGGAGAAAAAAATTGAGTCTGACCTTTTTTATGATGTAAATATTTCCCAGGACCTCTCACCCCTGTACCCCAACAGACTTCATTGGCTAGGACTTTGTCAGATGGCTGCTTGTGTTAGTCTGTTTTTGCATTGCTCTAAAGAAATACCTGAGATTAGGTAATTTACAAGGAAAAGAGGTTTATTTTGGCTCATGGTTCTGCAGGCCGTACAGGAAACATGGTGCTGGCATTTGCTTCTGGTGAGGGCCCCAGGAAGCTTCCTGTCATGGTGGAAGGCATAGGGGAGCCATTGTCACATGGCGAGAGCAGGAGCAAGAGAGAGAGGAAGGAGGTACCACACTCTTTTAAACGACCAGATCTTGCGTGAACTCAGAACAAGAACTCAGTCATTTCACAAGTATGATACCAAGCTATTCAAGAGGGATCCACCCTCATGACCCAAATACTGCCCCACCAGGCACCATCTCTAACACTGGGGATCACATTTCAACATGAGATTTGGAGGGGACAAACATCCAAAGCGTATCCCCACTCTAAGCTGGGAGTGTTCAGCTGTGTCATCTTCTGTAGCATAAAACTTTTAAGAGAAGGGTTTGGGAAATGTCTCCTGGTCAGCCAAACTCTGGTGTGTGATGTGGTTTTCCACAGTGGGGTGTCAATGATGGTAAGGCTTTTTGAAATTCAAACATCAACCATGGATCCAACTGAGTTAATAGCAAAGTCTTCTGACAGTCACAAGAACTGCAGAAGACAGACTAGTTTATCTTCCTTTCCCCTGATATAGTTCGGCTGTGTCCCCACCCAAATCTCATCTTGTTATAGCTCCCATAATCCTCATGTGTCATGGGAGGAACTTAGTGGGAAGTAATTGGATCATGGTGGGTTTTTCCCATGATTGCTGTTCTTATGATAGTGAATAAGTCTCACAAGATTTGATGGTTTTATAAAGGACAGTTGCCCTGTACATGCTCTCTTGCCTGCTGCCCTGTAAGAAGTGCCTCTGATCTTCCTTCACCTTCCACCATGATTATGAGGCCTCCCCAGTCATGTGGAACTATGAGGCCATGAAACCTCTTGTTCTTTATAAATTACCTGGTATCAGGTCTTTATTGACAGCATGAGAATGGACTAATTCACTCGTCCTCCCCCCCAACTCCTTTCCATGGAAGGTGTCAAGACACTAATTAGAATCAGAAGATATGGTCTGAATGCCCACCCTGCCATGTTTTTTAGCTGTGTGGTCTTGAACAGGCTGCTTGACTTCTCTGATCTCAGTTTTTGTCCATTGGTAAAATAGACAAAATAGCTACTTTTAATCTACCATTCTCAATGGATTCTTGTGAGGACACAGATAATTGAGAAAAACATAATACATATCCAAATTAGAAGATGGAAAAGGAACAGTAACCCTACTCCTAACCTGGTCATTTTAACCTCCTGTGCCCTCAGTTTCTTCATCTGTATAATGAGCATAAGCCTGGTGTGGTTGCAAGACGCAGCTAAAAATAAATGAGCAAAAAGAACATCATGTATTCAGCTATGCACACTTCCCACATTGCTCTTTACTGAGGCCCTAGAGCTAACCATTTCCTCTTGTTATTCGACAGACCACTGACACAGCAAAACCCCAATGGCGACTGTCAGCTGGCCATGAAAGCCGCAGACTTCAAGGGGCTTTACCAGGAATGAGTGGCTGCTCGGAGGCTGGGCTTCTTTTCAAGCACTGCTGGATCATACTCGCCCCTTGGGATTATGGCTCAGAAGAAGGGGGCTGGGTAGGCAAGCACTCCTTGGCTGTGTCATCCCACTTTTTCACTTATTTGTAGGATCCCGCAGCAGCCAATTTAGGGATTGTGGTGTTCTTGTGTTGGTTCCCATGTAAAGAAGCAGCAGAGAAATGCAACGGCTCAACAGCTCAACTTAAATGTCCATCAGTGGTGGACAAAGAAAATGTGCCGCCATATACATCGTAGAATATTACACAGTCATAAAAAAATGAGATCGTGTCCTTTGCAACAACATGGATGCAGCTAGAAGCCATTATCCTAAGTGAACTAATACAGGAACAGAAAACCAAACACCATATGTTCTCACATATAAGTGGGAGCTAAACATTGGGTACATATGGAAATAAAGATAAGAGCAACAGACATTGGGGTCCTACAGTAGGAGGTGGAAGGTGGGAGGAGGGTGAAGATCAAAAAACTGTCAGGTACTATGCTTATTACCTGGGTGATAAAATAATCTGTACACCAAGCCCCCATGACATGCAATTTACCAGTGTAACAAACCTCTACATGTACTCCTGGAACTAAAATAAAAGTTTTAAAAAAGCAGACAATAGTTGGTAAATAATTTTTTTTTTTGAGTACCAATAAGTCTTTATTTATTCATTGTATTTTCCCAGGGAAAGAAGGGAAGGGAAGAGTCAGCATGTGTTAACAAATGATTAGAAAATTGGAAATACCCAGTACAGCAAAATCAACCATCAAATAAACACACCCCAGTGATGGAGTCACCAAAGCCCAAAGGGGCTCACTCTCCTGCAGTTTAGGAATGAGGGAAAGGGATCAGGAAAAGGATAGACAGGTACAGGCTTTCCTACCCTCCCTCCCATAAATTCAAGATTTTACACAAAACTTTGGTTTCTAGCAGTAAACATGGAGTTACATTTGTTCATCTCCTATTAAACAATCTTGTGGCCACTTTGACATAATTTTCTAGCACCTGCATAAAAGTTCCTGAGTGACTTGGATATACATTCATATTCCCTTTCTTGGCCTCCTGACCCCACTTTCTACATGGAAGGCCCCCAATTGCATCTCTCTACTTTAGGATTAAAAATTAAGTAGGTTTGATCCATCTAAAATACGGCAGTGTGTTTTTTTTTTTTTTTTTTGAGACAGAGTCTTGCTCTGTCACCCAGGCTGGAGTGCAGTGGCACGATCTCAACTCACTGCAACCTCTACCTCCCGGTTTCAAGTGATTCCCCTGCCTCCACCTCCCGAGTAGCTGGGATTGCAGGGACACACCACCATGCCTGGCTAATTTTTTGTATTTTAGTAGAGATGGGGTTTCACTGTGTTGGCCAGGATGGCCTTGAACTCCTGACCTCGTGATCCACCTACCTCGGCTGCCCAAAGTACTGGGATTACAGGCGTGAGGCACCACGCCTGGCCTACAGCAGTGTCTTAAGTATTTGTCATGAATACATCATTAAATGGTCGGCCGGACATGGTGGCTCACCAAAACAAATCTATTGGTCTTGATTCAGGAGGCTGGAACAAGGAATGGAGGGTTTCTAGCTTCTTCCGGATTTTTGCATACATTGTTTAAAAGTTGTGAAGACACTCCAAGCATTAAATGTGTATGAGTGTGGGTGTGTAGGTTTTCTTTTGGGGGTGAACAGAAAAGAGGGCAGGGTGGAAGACACGTTTTTAGGACAGAAGATCTGGTCTGATAGGTAAGGCGGAATACAAAAGAAAGGATGATTCAAGATCCCCACTTTAAGAAGAGGGCCCCCCAAACTAATGTTTCAGATCTTTTTGCCTGGTGCAGAACCGTCTGTCAAAGATGCTTTGGCTATTTTTCTCTCAATACAAAAAAGTGTGTAAACAAAACCCCAAAGAACAGGGAGAAAGACCAATACATTATATTTACACAAACTAGGCCACCTAGCAATCACCAAATTAGTGAAGTCCTACAAAGCCCAGACAAATACAATAACTAGAGGGGGGCGGTATTTAGGGGAGACAAGAACCCGGGAGCAGACACACACCACCCAGTGTGTTCTATTGCAATTGTCCCGTTTCAACACAGTGAGGTAGGTTTGCGGTGATCTCACAGCATGCAAACGAAACCCCGTTTTCTTTTAGCTACCATGACATTACTAATCACTACTGCAGCAGGGCAGGACACGGGCCCCAGGCACCACAAAGCCCTGCTCGTGTGTCTTCCTGGAACCCAAGAATTTTGACAGGTTAAGGATTTTTAGACCTTACTTCATGTAGCCATCCCTTGACAGCACAGGATTAAGTACAGGGCTACTGGTCTTAAAGCTTATCCTTACCAACCCGGTTTTATGAACACACACACCCTGTTGTGCATGGTAGGCCTCGTCTAATCTGGTGAAGAATGGATCTGGGATGTAAAGCACGTCCTGTGCCCTAGGATTAGACAACCCTCACCTAATCTTGGCTTCCTCTCTGGGCCTTTCACCTGGCCCAGCCTCTCCTAGCCTCTCTGCACCACTATTTCCTGTTTGGACTAATTTCCAATCTTCCATTAGGAGGCAATCAAGTCATGGGGCAACCCAGTTAAAACCTAGTCTCCCATAAAACATTTTCAAGGCAGAGGGGGTTTCAAAAGGACACTATGGCAGAAAAGCCAGCTCTCATTGGCAAAAATGAGGTAGTTCAATAGGCTGTGCGCTCCAAATAGTTGCTCTCCACGGTGGCAAAAACGACAAAAAGTATTCCTGCTGTGCAGACCTGGAGCTGCTGCCGACTTATCCCTGAGATTGCTCATGTAGCTGAGAACACAGTGCAGGAAATGAGGGCCTTAGATTAAAATATACAAAAATACAAAACCAGAATACTTATATTAAGGGAAAAAAAAGTTAAAATGCACAAGATACGTCATTTGCACACAGCTAGTGCAGTTGGCATCCTGGAGAAAGTGGGACCCAAGGTGCAGTATCCAAGGGAGCAAATAAATAAAATCACATTGACCCAGAACGGGGCGGGGTGAGTGTAGGAGCAGCAGGTCTGAGCTGTTCCCCCAAACACCCTTTTTGCCATCATCACTACCCATTGCTTGGGACAGTTGCCAGCACCCTATCCCAAAAGTGGGTATGAGGATATAAGATGTGGGGGAAAAAAACCTGCCTTATTCCTGAGAGATTCCCTTCCACACAATGTAGTGGGTTGGCTCCATGAATCTGGTCTTATACTTAATCATTTCACTGTGGCATGGGAATTATTATTATACATCCTTCTTTAAAAGGAAAACAACTTCCTATCCAGGCCACTTTCAAAAGCTGGAAATTCTGGGGATGGAGCCTAAGATAAAGCGTGCAGGTTGTAGGGTGATTCCCTCCTCTTGGTCGCCCCCAGAACCCTCACTTGCATTTGGACAGAGCCTGGATGGAGTTCCTTTGACTCACCCTTTCCCCCGACCTAGAGGAAAGAAAGGGTGTTGGTGTGAACCCCAGCCTGAGATATATGGCAGTGCCAACTAGCCCCAATGCACCCTTTTCCCACTTTCTCCACTCTGCCTGCTCCTCGAAACTTCCCGATAGCAAAAGAATAGCCACCACCCATGGCCGGGCGCGGTGGCTCACGCCTGTAATCCCAGTACTTTGGGAGGCCGAGGCGGGTGGATCACGAGGTCAAGAGATCGAGACCATCCTGGTCAACATGGTGAAACCCCGTCTCTACTAAAAATACAAAAAAAATCAGCTGGGCATGGTGGCGCATGCCTGTAATCCCAGCTACTCAGGAGGCTGAGGCAGGAGAATCGCCTGAACCCAGGATGCGGAGGTTGCGGTGAGCCGAGATCGCGCCATTGCACTCCAGCCTGGGTAACAAGAGTGAAACTCCGTCTCAAAAAAAGAAAAAAAAAAAAAAAAAAAAAGAATAGCCACCACCCATTGGGGCTCAATTCTGGGCCTCTGGGAGCAGGGCAGGGCTGTGGATTTCTTCTTCTTCCTCCTGGAAGTATGTTGGCTTTCCCTGTGTGCTAGGGACCTGCTGGGCCTTCAGTGGACATGAGGCTACCATATGGCTGATGCTCTGGCAGAAGCGGCACTTCTTGGGCTGGGGTGGTAGCTTGCATTCCTTGGCATGATGGTCTAGACCTCCACAGTTGTAGCACCTGTCTCCTTTTGATCTGCGCTTCTGCATGTTCTTCCCTTTTGGCCGCCTCTCACTCCCAATACAGAACACCCCACCAGGTCCAGTGACACGGATGGATTCCAGACCCTTGGCTGACTTCTTAAAGGTGAACTCCACGGCCTCACCCTCCTTCAAGCTCCGGAAGCCCTCCGTGTGCAGCTTACTCTGGTGCACAAAGACGTCCACGGGGGGGGGTCGAGCGCGACCCTGGCGGGGGCGGTCATGGACAGGAAGCCGAACCCCATGCGCACGTTGAACCACTTACAGATGCCTGCACCGTGCAGCAGCTGAGGCTCGTCCGCCGCCAGGGCCGCGTCCTCCAGCGCCTCCTCGGGCGCCTCTTCTGCCGCCTTGGCGCAGCCACCTGCAAACTGTTGGTTGGTCACGGAGCCCATGGTAGTCGGCTGAGCCTGTGGCCCTGGGCCCCTGGTCGGGCGGCTGCTGGCCCCAGAGAAGTCCGAAGGCAAAGGGCAATAATTTTTTTTTAGAAACTGAATGGGACAAGTTATGGGAAGGTGAGGGGCAGAACTGCACTGCAAAAAGGCAGTCTTATGCAGATTAAGTCTCAGGTAATCTCTCAGAATTGCCCTCAGCAAAATAGATGAAAAGTCTGTCTGGGCATGGTGACAACTTTTAGTCTCATTTGTGGTGGTTAATCTTTTCTGGTTATTTTGGATGCTAATCCACCATGTTGACATCTGATTGATTAACCCCAGCCCCGTGGATGCCTCCTGATTCCTACTTTACTGTTCCTAGTGTAAGAGTATGTTGACCTTGATGTTATCACACAAATCATAGGCTATGATGCATACAGCGTTCTTGCCTGTCCTGAAGGGTTGCCTTTAATTGGCTTGCTGGAGCAAG